GATTTAGTTTGGTTTGCATGAACAGAGATCATCGACTGCCTTTCTGTTTCTTAAAAGCCTGCAGGTCGTTCAGGCTCAGGCTTCTGGTTGTCTAGGATTTTAGGATCCTGGGGCAAGTGTGTGGCTGGTTTGGTCTCCAGAGCCATTAGGAAAAGGAAACTCAGCCACTTGTGGCACAGGACTGGGGCTCCCTGGGGGGCCAGATAAACAGCTCTAGACACAGGCCTGGACTGGGCTCACTGAAACACATCGGCTTCTTAGCAAGAGGAATTCATCGCTAGCACCTAGGACGCTCGGACCCTATTCGCGACGGGAAAAATCCCCCCAAACCCAGTCAAAGTAAAGGTCTTTTCCCCCTCTAGTCTTGGTGGATTATAAATCGCCCCTTAGACAATTTCCTCTGACCCAAATTATGCAGTTTGCTGCCATCTACCGTCCGTTCGGGGACAGGCGGCTTTGGCACAGCCAGCCTCTCGACACTCCCCAACCCCTGCGGGTTTGCTTGGAGCCCGGGGCCGCGCGGTTCGGTTCGGTGGGATTCCGGCCCATGCTGATGCTCGCTACTGCATCTTAAGTCCCAGGGTGGAGATTAGAAAACGGAACCAGTCTCTTGTCACGTTCTCCTCAACCTTCTCCCATCTCCTGCAGAGATCCCAGCCACAAACCTGGAGGCTGGCAGAGGAAGAGGCAGATGTCCAGAGAGGAGTAATACTATAACCCACGGACAGGGGGTACTGAACCAAAGGGTTAAGGGTTCAGACCCACGACCCCCACCACCACCTAAGACACGAGACAGGATTGGGCCGCTGGAGAGATGTGAGGCCAAAATCTGTTCAAGGTTTATTTAGTTTTCTTCTCAGCCAAAGGAGGGGGGGGGGGCAGTCAGGGGAGGCGCCGAGCAGGCAGGTTCCACTCGGTTGTTAAAAGACAAACCCAGTCTGTATTCTTCCAGTTGGTTTGTGGGTCTTGCCAAGTCCTAAGCTGGTGAGCCCGTGGTGAAGGAGTTGAACTGAGTTTTCTGGAAACGGTTGGTGTCTGCAAGTGAGTGTTGGTCCCCTCCCCCATTCTCGATCGTTTCAAGCGAAATCGACGCAAAAAAAAAAAAAATGCTTTGGTGGAAAATCGGGAGTGAAGAGAAACCATCAAAGAACCCAAACCTCTGTAATTTCCGATCCTGTGGGGACCCCTCACACCCGGTTAACGGAACCGCTTGCCCAGAAGGGGGTGGCGAGGGCTGGGTGCGCGCCTCCTCCGCCTCGGCATTGGAGTCTTGGCCCCGGTCTCACCGGTTACTGATTAGCTCGGGCTTTCAAGCTGCAAGAGGAAGCGCTGGCTGCCCCTTTCAAGGTGCGGTGGGCCCCGTTCCTGGGCGGGGGCTCCAGGAAATTGCCTGCCAAGTGCCAGGCTGGCCAAGGTGTTACTAAGGTCTGGCTGGGAGCTGTGGGTCTAGAGGCCGTGTAGTGCTGGGGGCACCCCCCCCCCCCGCCCTAGACAACTCTAGAGTCTGAGCCTCTCTCTGAAGCAGATCTTTAAGCTTTTCCCCCTTCTGCTTCGAGAGAGTGACTTTCTGGCGGCTGGATGGCCAGGCTTAGTGAGTCGCTCTGCGGGAGGCCCCGGGGGATCTGGCAGGCAGGTCTGAGGCCCTCCTAAATTTTTTTCCTTTGAGCAATCAGAAGGAAATGTAGGGAAGGGAAATCAAGCTGCTACAGAGGCTTGAAACACTTCGGGGCTCTTAGGGTAAGGGTGAACCAGGAAGAGTGAAGGCTCTCCCACTACTCCTAGAAGATCAGAGAGGATGCCGCTCATTTGCATAATGGAAATGAGGTCTTTGTACCTCGATTTGGACTAGTCAATTTTAGGGCAGGGTGTCCAAGCAAAGAGCCTCTTTCCAGTCTGTGGGAGCCACTACATTGCCCCACTGGGGAACATTTCAGAGAACCAGAATCCAGGAGGAGAATTGGGTTTGAGAGGTTTTCATCAGCCCCACCCCAGGTGCAGTTGGGGGTGGGATAGGAGAAGGTTCCTACTATCCAAGGAGCTGGGAGGGAAGAGCTTTGTATCTTCGAGGACATAGGAAGCCTAGCTAATGTCTCACCTCCTCCTCATGCAGGCAAATGCCATTCCTAAAATCATCACCTTCTGGAGATTTTCACTCCTGAGCTGCACATGACTTAGGCAACATTTCTCTGGGAGCTGGAATGTGCGTGCTTACCCACGGGACTGCAGACTCAAAGCACAGAAAATCACAATTATAAATCCTGCCTGTGGGGTATCAGGACAATCCCTGTGCTGTGTACTCAAGACTCGGTATATATTTACATCCCTCTCCCAGTGAGTTGAGGGGGCGACAGTCCTCACAGAGAACTGGCTGATGCCTGCTGTGTATTTACATATTTCCCAGTGGAGACAGACAAACTGAGGTGGATGGAACCACAGACAGATCAGCAGAGATCTGGCTCCAGAAACCAGGCGGTCTCTGGCCCAGCTCTGCCTGCCTGCCTTTTTTCCCAAACAAACGGATCAGATGAATAAACGCTCATAAATACCTCTGGGCTTAGATAAGAGCGATGAGGCGCTATTTCCTTTCATGCTCGACTCCAGGCGCCCTGGTCCTGCCCATAGTGGCTCCATCTCCAGACAGGCAACCTGCAGAGGTGAGGTTAATTTGGAGGCTGCTACTCTAAAGGATAAAGCAATTATTTTCCTGCCTCTATCTCAGGGGCAGGCCTCCTCTTACTTTTCTTTTTTCTTTTTCTTTTAAACATGGGCAATTATACCATCTTTCCTATGATGAGGACATTGTGACCAGGGAGCAGGGCTGAGGCCCAAGGCCCATCCTCAGTGGCAAGATGGGGGTGTGTGTAAATATTCTTTTGCATCCTGTTCCCTTGCTGAAACAGCCCCTACTCCTCTCTCAGCATAGGCCCAGCCATTTCTAGATAGGAGCAATCTGCTTTCTGCATCATTAAGGAGGTCTGAGATTCTTTTAACACCCCCCCCCCCATGGATTAAGGCTAAGAGAGACACCCAGGGATGGTCATTGTGCCACAAAAGAACAGCCTAGCAGTAGCTTTGAGTTCAAAGAGCTTCAGAGGCCACTTTGCAGCCTCACCCTTGATCATCCACCCTCGGCCCTTTCCTATTATCAGTGGACAGAGCTGGACCACAAAAAGGAGCCCCAAGAACAAGGCAGAGGTGGGTCAGCCTGGCCTGGCCTGGCCTCCGACATCATCTTATGACCCAGTCCTCCCTATATTCAGGTTGGAAGGGAAGTTGTTACTCTAAACTGTCTGGTGTGTGTGCGCATATTAGAATGTTAGAAATACAGTGCGTCCCTCAGCTGGGGAATATCTGTGCTCATTTTCTTTGGATGAAAGAGGAAGCGAGCATAGACCGGAGCCTTTCATTTCCAAGTTCTCACAGCGGCAAAGCAGGTGATACAGACATGGGGCATGGGAAGGGGGCCTGAAGAGTGGCTGAGGGACCGACAGGAGGGCTGTGGGAGCCGGAGTGAGCATGCCAGGGGACGAGTAAAGGAGGTTACTGAGTCCCTAGGAAGACCTAGCAGCCTTCCTTCCTTCCTTCCAAAACTAAATCTAAACCACGTCTGGGGAGGGGGTTTCAAAGGGAATTGACCATTTATAGAGAGAGCAAGGAAAAAAGAGAAGGTACTTTTCAATGTGCTCTTCTCCATTATGAGGATCTGAAGACTCATTTTTTTTTTTTTTTTTCAAAATAGGGTTTCTTTGAGTAGCCTTAGCTGTCCTGGAACTCCAAGTGCTGGGGTTAAAGGCGTGCTCCACCACCACCCACTCATCTACTCACATTTCTAAGAGGGCAATTTCTTCCCCTTATCTAGATTTACTGGAACATCCTTGATGCTAAAGCTCTGTAGCCGGGATTATTCTTACATCAGTTGGGGTGGGGGCTAAGTACGGATTGAGTGGAGATGAGTGAGGGCTGCAGGCAGAATAAGATGCAAAGCCACACAGGCTGGGCTGCACCTTACTCCTTTACTCTGTATCATCAAATTTAGGGATTGTTAGTTTCTTTCTCCGGGGCCCTATTCCCAGTCAAGACTGCAATCGGGAGGCTGAGCTGTCTTGGGCTTAAGGACCGGGTTGCCAGAAGCTCCTAGCCTTGGGGAGCAGTCTGAGGCTCACATAACCCTGACATTTCCTTCTTCTGGGTCTTCTAGGCAGAGGGATCTGGCTCGCCCCTCTAGCCTTGAGAGTTGTGGAGAAGCAGGGATGTGATAAACCTAAGCTTGCAAAATGGAGAGACAGACCTGATAAGCAGGACAAACGATTTTCCAAACCTGCGAAGGAGGATGGTTCTTCTTCCCCTGTTTCTAAAATGAAGCAAATCAGCACACAACTTCGTTCCCCCTTTACCAGCACAAAACCCTAGAAACAGACCTTCCCCCCTTCCTTCTCTCTCAACGAGATTCGCAGGCATTTACCCAGCCCTCCTTTGAGGGAACGGGCCCATGCAACGCAGGGGTTAACTTTTCTGAAAACACAATTAACTTTTCCCTATTTCTGCGTGGAGTGGGGGGGGGTGTATTTATTTCATCACTGGGGAATGGGGTGATCTCCATCCAAATGTTCCCTCCTCCCTCAAAAGCACAGACGTCTCTTTCGCAGATCCTACGTAGGTGGAAGAGAGAGAGAGAGAGAGAGAGAGAGAGAGAGAGAGAGAGAGAGAGAGAGAGAGAGAGAGAGAGAGAGGAGGGGGAAAAGGTTGATAGGTTTGTGCGCGGGTCCCTCGTGCAGGCTGCGCTCCTCCTGGGTGCTATTTGACAATTCCTGCCTCTGCCATTGGTCAGTGTTGGATCAGATGGTTGTATTTCCTTCTGGCCCTCACTGGCACCTCGCCATCCCCCCTCAGCTAAAACCCAATCTCGGCTATACTACTAATAGGCGCGGCGCTCGGACTATAAAACACAACAAATCATAAACCCGGCGGAGCAGCAGCGGTCGCGCGCGCCTCCCCTCCCGATGAGTTCCTATTTCGTGAACTCCACCTTCCCCGTCACTCTGGCCAGCGGGCAGGAGTCCTTCCTGGGCCAGCTGCCGCTCTACTCGTCGGGCTATGCGGACCCGCTGCGGCACTACCCCGCGCCATACGGGCCGGGACCGGGCCAGGACAAGGGCTTTGCGGCATCCTCCTATTACCCACCCGCCGGCGGCGGCTACGGCCGGGCGGCGCCCTGCGACTACGGGCCGGCGCCTGCCTTCTACCGGGAGAAGGACGCGGCCTGCGCCCTCTCCGGCGCTGACGAGCCGCCCCCGTTCCATCCCGAGCCGCGGAAGTCCGACTGCGCACAGGACAAGAGCGTGTTCGGAGAGACCGAAGAGCAGAAGTGCTCCACGCCAGTCTACCCGTGGATGCAACGCATGAATTCGTGCAACAGTGAGTGAGACTTCCTGCTGTCCCGAGCAGTGGGGGGGGGGGGGCGCGTGCAGGAAGGCAGACCTAGCGAGTGTCCCCACCCCAGCCCATTCTCCCACTGGGAACTAGTGGAGGAACTAGGTGGATATCTCAGGAGACAGGGCAAGATTGGGTCCCTGCCTCCAGATCGGTTCCCTTGCCCTCAGAAGTTGCAAAGTTTGCAAAGTCCCAGCTGCACAGTAAGGCAGGGGGAGTAAGTGGGCTTTCTGAGAGAGACAGGCCTGGGCTAGGACTGCTGATCAGGAAGAGGACAGGGGACTCAGTCTCTGGTTTTGCTTTCCTCTGTATCCTTCCCCTCCCTTATCCGGATCTGCCCGGGTCCCCATCCACCCACCCAAAGACCACTCCATTAAAGACAAGAGTGCGTCATGAAGTGGGGGGGTGGGGTGGCATGACGCCGGCAAGGGCACGTTTACTGGGTCCTGGACATGTGTGTGTGTGTGCGTGGGGGGGGGGATCGGTAAGACACCCGGAAAGGGGTGGTAGTCTGAGGAAGGAAGAACAAGAGGGGGCAGGCGGAGGGAGTGAGAGGGACAGGCCGGCGCCTGGGTCTCAGGTTGGATTATCTGTCGGCTTCAAGTCCCAATTGATGTCCATTAGCGGGACACGAAAGTGAGGAGCTGTTAATGCGGACTATGGATCGATCCACGTCATTATGGATTAAGGGCCAGAATCTATCATCGAGTGGGGTAGGGAGAGCTGGATGGATAGAAAGAAAAGGAAAGAAAAGAAAAAACACAGCTAGTAGGAGACGCACCTGGCCAGTCCCTCCCCCTAAGCTCAGGTGGGAGTCCAACGGCCCCTCCCCTCCCCCACCGAAAGTCTAGACAGAAAGAAAGCACAGGCCTAGGAGTCCAGGAGGGAATCTGGAGGGGGCGCTGGAGGAGTGGGAAAGGGGGACCAGGGAATGGGAGAAGGGAAAGAGGACCAGCTAGCATTGCGTTTGAGGGCTGAGTGGGGGAGGGGGCTGTGGGCTTGGTGTGGTCACCCCAGGCCTCAGTTTCTCCTCTCTGCGTAACAGGTTCTTCATTTGGGCCCAGCGGTCGGCGAGGCCGCCAGACGTACACGCGCTACCAGACCCTGGAGCTGGAGAAGGAGTTCCACTACAACCGCTACCTGACCCGGCGGCGGCGCATCGAGATCGCGCACGCCCTGTGCCTGACCGAGCGGCAGATCAAGATCTGGTTTCAGAACCGGCGCATGAAGTGGAAAAAGGAGAGCAAACTGCTCAGTGCGTCTCAGCTCAGTGCGGAGGAGGAGGAAGAAAAACCAGCCGAGTGAAGGTGCTGAGAAGGGAGGGGGGACGCGAAGGGAGAGGCCTGGAGGGGAACCGAGGGCACCCGAAAGCCCCAGAAGGCTCTGCGGTCCGGGGAGTCTGGGGACTCGCTCTGCCCCGCAAGGCGGGCGGGGCCCAGCTCTCCCCTGGACGTCCCCGCCCGCAGAGCTCTTCCTGGGCGCTTGGAGGCTGCCCACCCAGCACCCCAGCGCCTCCTCCCTCCCCGAAGAACCCACCTTGGCCTCATCAGGCTCCCTGGTGAGAACTGAGAATCGGACTCACTTGATGTCTCCCGGAAGCAGAGCAGAATGCTCGTGTCCTTGTCGGGTCTCATTTCGTCCAAGTCCCCCCCCCCCGTGCACGGTTCAATGGTAGATTCGCTGTCCCCCCTCAGCGGGGACCTGAAAGACTCCCTGACCCCAGACTTGTCTCTCCTACCCCCTCCCCAAAACCACTGGAAGGAGCACATACTACCTAGAAGTAAGAAGAAGAGCCTCAGAAGAAAACAAAGTTCTATTTTATTAATTTTCTATGTGTTGTGTTTGTAGTCTTGTCTTAGCTCTGGACGTGAAATACTTCGGTAATAATATTAATATTATTAATAATGATTATGATGATGATGATAATAATAAAGATGTGAAAACTCGCAGCTCAATCACATCCAATCCTTCCCTGCCATTTTTTTTTTTCCCACTCCATAGTCCCAGCCACCCTGTCACCCCTGAGCCTGAACAGCAAAGGCAAGAACCGTGGTCCGCCTCAGGGCCTTTCCAGCCACCAGACTCAATTCGGGAGTTACAGTTGAGATAAAAGCAGGAGCCAAAAGCAGAGGCCAGTGATCGGTCCCCCCAGGCCCCAGTGCCTCCCTCCCTCTTGCTAAATCCACAGTTGCCTCTCCCATTCAGACTTGAGGGATGGAGGGAAGCCTTTTCCTTCTTGTTCTCTAAGCTCGCCTAGGTTTGTGAGACTCTGGAGGGATGCCACTTGAGGCCTCCTAGCCCAGAGCCCTGGAGAGACCTAGCTGGGCGGGTCTGGGCGCCTCTGCAGCGTTTTTCTGTCTTCTGCTAGCCAAGGCCCCTGGCCTTTGGCCCGCCCACATGGCTGTATCTGCCGGCCTTGGCCCTCGGCTCCCCGGCCTATTGCTCCGGAGACTGAAAAATGAGGCCACTGGGCATCTCTCCACAGTTCGTATGCAGGCTCCAGGGTGCCCCTTCCCATATTAAGTAGGAGCTCGGTGGCAAGGGAGAGAATGAGAACCCCGGGAACAGGAGACCGCAAGGGCCCGACTTTATCTGGCTCTTTGGAGACCTGAGGGCACCAGGCCAGGTGATGAGACATTTGGTCTCATCTTCTCGACCCAAAACGGCTTATCCTCTCTCTACTTCCACCCACACCCAAGCCGCAAGCTCCAGGCTCCGTTTTCTTTTTTTCCTCCTCTCTCTCTCCCTTTTTTTTTTATTTTTAAAGTAAATAGCCGCCTGGCAGAAGGGCCCAGCTGCCGAGATCTCTGGCCGCCCAGCGGGCTCAGCAAGGGGCCGCCGGTCTTCCGAACCCCTTCCCAGGAAGGCTGAAAGGCGGATGAGCAAATTCTCCAACTGTTAGCCACCAGCGACACAAGGCTTCGGATCTGGCCTCCGAATGCGATAGCTGGCATCTGGCGAGATTGTTAAGGGGTTCTGTTTTTATCCCCAAACTCTCACATATGAGTTACCACCAAATCTAAACCGCCTAGGCGGTGGCCGCTCTGGTCTTGGCCGCTTTCGGCTGCCTGTTCCCGGCTGTTCCTCTTCTGGGATCCCCTATCCAGCTCGGTTCCTAGGCCTCGGCTAAGGATGCGAGGGCAGGAGCAGAATTTCAAACTTCCCAGGGGCCCAGGAGAACGAAGAGCTTCTCCGCCTCTTCCAGCCTCCTGCCCAGCCCCGCGGCTCTCTGGTGTTGTGGACCTGCCACCGAAGCCTCCTCGCCAGGAAGGAGGCCTGGTTGAGCTAACGGAGATAACTCGGAATAATTGTTTTTCACACACAACTTCTAGCCCTTCCCCCCCATTTCCTTACCCAACTTTGGGACTGGCAAAGCTCAAGGAGGGGAAGGTCAGGCAACTAAATCCTTGATCACACTATCCAGAGTTAAAATAATAGTAATAATAATAAATGATGATGATAACAATGTCAGAGAGAAAGGACATAAATCGAGGAAATAACCGCACTCTAGCAAAGTGGGCAAAAGACTCAAACCTATCTTCCTAAAGGTTCAACCCTGCGGGTGAGCCGCGGGCCCGGGTTTCTGTCTTGCCTGGCTGTTGCACAGAGCCAGCTGGGAGGCTGCCGACGCCGCCATGGCGGCCTGCTGCCCGCGCTCCCGTCAATCGCCGGGAGGTGGCGCGCTCTGCTCAGAGGCCAACGCCAACCTTCTCCCTGTTTCTCCCCCGTCTCTCCTTCTCCCCCCCCTCTCGGAGGCTCGCATTGAATCGGCCCTAACGATTCTCGGATCGTCATTATTTGTAACCATAGAGCATGAATTACCTCTTGAGGTCATCAGCGAGAATTTACGACTGGTCAACAAAAGCACGTGATTCCCTAACGCCCCCCCATCCCCCTTCCAACCCCCCCCCATATTTGGCCGCATACATAGCAAAACGAAGTACAGTGCATCGCTATAATTCATTAATACATCATAAATCGTGAAGCACAGGGTTATAACGACCACGATCCACAAATCAAGCCCTCCAAAATCACCCAAATGAGCTCGTACTTTGTAAACTCCTTCTCGGGGCGTTATCCAAATGGCCCGGACTATCAGTTGCTAAATTATGGCAGTGGCAGCTCTCTGAGCGGCTCTTACAGGGATCCCGCTGCCATGCACACCGGCTCTTACGGCTACAATTACAATGGGATGGATCTCAGCGTCAACCGCTCCTCGGCCTCCTCCAGCCACTTTGGGGCGGTGGGCGAGAGCTCGCGCGCCTTCCCCGCGTCAGCCCAGGAGCCCCGCTTCAGGCAGGCGACGTCCAGCTGCTCCCTGTCCTCGCCCGAGTCCCTGCCCTGCACCAACGGCGACAGCCACGGCGCCAAGCCCGCTGCTTCGTCCCCTTCCGACCAGGCGACCCCAGCCAGCTCCAGCGCCAATTTCACCGAAATAGACGAGGCCAGCGCATCCTCGGAGCCTGAGGAAGCGGCAAGCCAGCTAAGCAGCCCGAGCCTGGCCCGGGCACAGCCAGAGCCCATGGCCACCACTACAGCCGCGCCCGAGGGGCAGACTCCACAGATATTCCCCTGGATGAGGAAGCTTCACATCAGCCACGGTAATTCTCCATCTCTTTTTTGTCCTCTCCGCATCCCTGCCCTGTGTTGGGGGTGGGGGGGGTGAGGAAAGCTTGACTTTACCTCAAATATAGATCCACCCCCCCCCAAGAGGAAGAAGTGTCCGAAAGGGTCCCCACAGCTCCTTACACAGAGCCAAACAGGGTCTTTTGCTGGGGGTGGACATTTTCAAAAACAATTTGTTGCCAGGCTCGGCTCAGGTTTTATTTACCCAGCCAGTCACCGGCTTTAGGATGAAAGATGGGATTTGTGTATTGTGGGGAAGGGTCTTGTTTATTCCTGAAATTCTGAGACTGCTGCTAGCAAAGGAGGAATGGGCTGTAAATGGAGCTTTCCAGGGTAAAAGTGGAGCGGCTCTCCTCCCTTCCGGGCTAACGGCCGGCCGCCTGAAGCCAGCCTAGGGTGAGGCACTGGGAAGGAGCAAGAGACAAAGCGGGGGAACATTCACTATCACCAGAAGTGGGGGCTGCTGGAGAAGGGGACCAAGAAACAGAGGCTGGGTGCGGGCACCTGGAGTGAGGAGGATTGGAGCTGCGGTGGTGAGCTGGGTGCTGGGGACGCCTGGGTCCTGCTCCCCGCCCCCTCCCACTCGGTGCCCCCTCCTTTAACCGGAATAACGTTGCCTCCGGGGCTCTTCTCTAACTGCTCTAGATATGACTGGGCCAGACGGGAAAAGGGCCCGGACCGCGTACACTCGCTACCAGACCCTGGAGCTGGAGAAGGAATTCCACTTCAATCGCTACCTGACCCGGCGACGACGCATCGAGATCGCCCACGCGCTCTGCCTGTCCGAGCGTCAGATCAAAATCTGGTTCCAGAACCGTCGCATGAAGTGGAAGAAAGACAACAAACTGAAAAGTATGAGCCTGGCTACAGCCGGCAGCGCCTTCCAACCATGAGCCCATCCGGAGGAGCCCTGGGCGGCCCAAGAGCCCGCACCACCCCCAGCCCGACCCTTCCAATCCTCCCCGCACTGCCGCTGCCCGCTGGGGACCTGTTCCCACGAGCCTGTCTCGCCCCAGCCTTGTATTACAATTTTTCGTTTGGTCTTAGGTCTTCCCATGGCTCCCTCTCTCCTGGACTGTTTATCTTGTTATTATTGTTAATAATAATAATTATTATTATTTCCCCTCCACGCTCCCCACTTCCCTCGGCTCGCCCCCAATTGCCAGTGTTTCTGAATGTCCTCCTGTCTGTGGGTGTACCCTTTCCCCCAGGAAAAAGAAAAAAGAAAAAGAAACTCGCATGTTTAATGTGACTTCCCTGCCCCTGTCTGTGTTCTAACTTATTTATAAAAGGATGAGGGCTGTATTTTGAATTTCAGCTGGAAACTTCCATAAGGGGCAGCAGTTGAGGTTGGGTAGTGCTGGGCCCAGCTGAGCTGGCCTGAGAAATGGAGTCTGTGATTGTGTCTCTTTTCACCCACCTCATCCTCCTCAGCTCCCACTCCCTAGGCCCAGGTCTCCCAGGGGCTTGTTCCTGGGGTGGGAAGGGGCCAGGGAAGGACCGAAGTGTGGATGTTGGGGAGGAAAAAGAGGAAGAGTCCAGCAGCTGCTGCCTGGTAGGCCGCACAAGGCCTCCTCTAGGAGTGTATGGAATCAGAAATAACCCTCAGCGGAAAATGTCTTGTGATTTTTTTTCTCTGTGAATCTGTGGGTCTGGCTAGAAGGCCCAAAGCGTGTAAATATGGGTTATAGTCTGGGTCAGGCCCATCACTTCCTTCCTTACCCATTTCCAAGACCATTTGTGCTAAGCAGGTGGGTGCTGTGCTACTGCTCCGTGTGGAATCTGTCTTGGCCAGGCCTGTCTCAGTGGTTAGCTTTTGGTATGTGTGTAGCTTTCCTTGAAGTCAAATAAATGTCTCTCCCACTCCATTGCCCTTCCTCTTGTCTTTTATCCGAGGGTCTGCCTCTTTGACCACTGGGCACAAACTATCCTAAGACCATCCTCCATAAACCTAGGCCATAGAGAAGAGAAAGTAGGGTGCCCACCAGAAACGCCTTGAAGCCAACTTAGTCCCTAGCTTGGGCCAGGAGACAGGCCTTCCTGCCTGGGGCGCTGAGAGGCCCAGGAACTTCAGCTGGGCCTTAGCTGAAGTCCATCATGACTTCCCTCCAGCTGGGTGGCAAAGCCTCTGGAGGGGGGGCACTCCAGGAAGAGTTATTTGTGCCTAAGTCCTGAGCAGTAAGGCTCCTGATCTTTTGAGGCTGGTAAAGGCCTGCCCAGATGCCCTGTCTCCTGTTCCAAACTCCAGTTCAGCTCTGCCACCCACTAAAGAAAAAAAAAAAAAAAAAAGCTCAATTTCAAAGGTTTCCTTCAAAGGTTGGCCTTCTCTGCACTTTTCAAGGGGTCCTCCTCTCCAGGGGTCCCGACTGACCTTCCCCTCTTGGTTGGGGTTCTTCCTGAAAGACCCCTGGTTCCCCCTGCAGCCTGGTTCAGGACCAGGGCCCAGTCTTCCTCCATCCAGTTCAGCCTCCACCCTGAGCATAAGAGTCAAGTCTGGACACTTACCCGGTCAATCCCTTCCAGCTGGGCCCAACTTCTTACAGGACCTGGGGGGAGGGGGAGCCGGTGAGGAGATGGCGAGGGTCTTGGAGGGTGTATTGGGCCCTCCTTCCCTCTCACCCCATGACTTTGTCCCCCTTTACCGAGAGAGCAAACTATCCCAAAAGTCGCTATGACATTTAGATGTCAAATGGATAGGGGTTTTATCTCGAAGTTAGATCGTAAAAATCGCCGAGAAGTCAGACAGATACCCCTCACTGGCTCGAGAAAGTCACGTGAGGTCCATAAAGTTAGTTTTATGGTTTTGGGGAGTTGACACCGCGCGGTATATTTCACATTCTCCAGAATGTTAAGTGACACTTTAACTGCTCACTGTGGTGGGGAAGGGGGCAGAGGTAGGTGAGCGCTCTGTGAGCCTGGAGCAGCCGGAAAAGCCCAGGAAGGCAGTGGCCAGAGCCCAGGCCCAGTACTCCACGGTAAGTCGCTTCCAGCTTTCGATTTCTCCCTTGCAGTTTTGGGGCTTGGGATGGGAGGAGAAAATCCTGTTTCCAGTTGGGCTGTAGAATGATACGGGGGAAATTTAACAGCTTTTTTTTTTTTTATACCCAGTTCTGAGGTGCCTACAGTGAGGGCTCAGTTCTGTAAAGCTGTAATGGTGGGAAGTGTCTGTTGCTTCTTTGCGGAGCACCGGACTCTGTGGAGAAAGGGGGTCATGTGGGATCCATGTTCCTTCAATATCTTTGGAAATTAGGGGCCAAGAAGGAGGGAATACGAACAGCTGGAATAAAGCTTGGGTGTGGTGGAGGGGTGTTTCTCTGCTGGCTATCTGAATGTAGATCTCCTCTTAACCCCCAGGAAAGAAACATGATGAGATTTGTTCATCTGGGATGTGTTGGGGCACCCGGCGGGCACTTTTACCTGAACATATTTGAGAGAAAGGACCAGGGAAAGGCGGCTGCTGTGGGCCACCTTATCCTAGGATGCTCTCTGGGTTTTGGATGTCTGTTCCCCATAAAAGCATCCCCCTTGCAGTCCCTGTGGTCCCTCAGGGTTATCTAGAATGGGAGAGCTCAGTGTTTTCACAGCCACCTCCAGCTTGTTGGTCTCAATTTGATTTCTTTTGCTGGTTGCTGAGTCAAAAGGAGGAGCAGACAGAGGGGTTCACAGCCTTTAGTTCCAAACCTAAATTTCGACCAGGGATGAGAAAGAACAGAGCTTCTGTCCAGGTCTGGAGGACATAGGTATGTCTAACTGGTCTGTCACAAACACAACCTGCCCAGGAACATAGGTCCCCAAAGGTGCTATCTTTTCTCTTTGCTCTTCCTCCCCCCTGGACTCTGAATGGTCTCTTTGTTTTGAATCACCGCAAACCAGAGGGACTTCCAAACTTGCTCCCCTCCATGGGAACCTTGTTTTCTAAGGAAAAGTCCCCCTTCTTCTAAAAGCTAGGATCCTCTTACCGATCAAATGGATGTGTCTCCCCACCCTCTTAATTAAGATCTCTGGGGCCAATGACTCTGGTGGTCCTGTTTCTGGCGAGCTCACTGTCTCTGGATTCACCAACTCTGGTGGATAATTCCTCAGACAGGACTTGGCATTTTGAGGGGCTTCTGATCTCTGACAAAGAAGGGCCACAGGGCTCCCCTATTTTCCACTAAGGGGATACTGATGCTCTCCCTCTTCTAGTTCTGCCCCTTGCTCTTCTCTATTCTCTCTCTCTCTCTCTCTCTCTCTCTCTCTCTCTCTCTCTCTCTCTCTCTCTTTTCTGAGCTCACCATTCCTGCCCATGTCCAGCTTATAGGAGACCCTCAGTGAGCTTTAAGAACAGAGGAAAGAGACCAAGGGCTTGAACTCCTCACCCAGACTTGGGCTCCTCACCCAGGCTTGAGCTCCTCACCCAGGCACCTCCCTAAGAAGGAAGGACATTTACACTCCTTGAAAAGGACACTCTTTTCCACTCCCAAAGGATCAAAGGATGCTAGCGGCACTTAAAATATGAATACACCTTAGAGGTTTGGCTTCTGAAGCCTTCAAAGCAGTTGAAAGAAGTGCAGAGGCCGCGGGCAACAGTAGCTAAGTCAAGCCGGGGCTTCCAAGAGAGTCCTTTTTCCTAGTTTCCTCTGGCCTCACTCTGTCTTGCTCTCTACGTCCTTCTTAGGGTCCTGAAACTCTAGATCCTCAGGTTTGTCCCTGACAAATGTCCTCCTGCACTTTGCATGTCAGATTGCAAACTCTGACAGAATGTTCCAGGCTGACAGCCTTGAGACATCTATGGAGCATGTTTGTATCCATTTTTCAGAATGGCAAAGAACAGTCCCGGGCACTTTTCCTTCAGACATAACCCCTTGAAAGGTCTCCTATGGCCCTAAGTAGATCTCAGAGAAAAAAGCCCCGTGGGCTTCCTCTTCCCCCAGTGAGGCTTTTGGGGGCAACTCTTCTCTGAACTGAGGCCAGGGCAAGCTGGGGAAGAGGATGAAGGGTATGGAAGGGTTTCCGGTACAAAGAACTGTCCTTGCCTCTGACTTCTGCTGCCTCTGCCTCCCTCCCTCCCTCTTCTCTTCTCTTCCTCCTCCTCCTCCTCTTTTCTTCTCTCCCCCTTCCTCATCCTTCCTCCTCGCTTCCACCCCTCCTCCATTTCCTCTCGTGTTCAGAGCCGCTTTACGGCTCCCAGATCTCTTCTCTCTCCTCTCTCACTGCTTCCTCTCTCCACACGTCTAGGCCTCAACTTCTGAGCCACAAGCCAAGCCAGGACCCTCTCACCCAATCATCTACCCCAGGGGCAGAGCCCAGCCTGGCCACCACTTGGAGGACAATTGGATTTTGTTTTGTTTTATTTGATTGTTTGTTTTGTTTTGTTTCTCTGTGGCCACAGGGATGGGAGGAAGTATAAAGAAGTGTAAACAGGAAAGGCGGCCTAGCCTGGAGTTCCAAGGGCCCATATTTCATCAGCTTCCTCTCCATAACTGCAGCAGGGACACTTAACCCTTCCCTGGCTGTGAGAGGGCAGAACGGGAAGAGAGCCAACAGCCAGTTTCTTTCCCCGCCTGGTTCTTTTCTCCCTGAGATCTGGATGCTGGGAGAGAGGCCAAGGATCCCAAGCAAAGGAAAAGGCAGAGTATCCCCAAATTCAGTCCCTTCCCAGGTCAGCTCTCCTTGAACAGAAGCATCCCAGCCTGGAATCCACCAGGCCCACCCGAGAAGACAGGGCTCATAAGAGTCTCCCCTCCCCCATTTTTTAGGAGTAGGCACTACTGGTCACTTTATTCATTTTGGGAGGTTTTTAGAGTAATTGGATTTTGAGGCTGGGATCAGCTCACAGCAGGGTTTATCGATTGCTGCAACGCAGTTACACATCCATATTAATTAACCCAGACACCACATGGAAACTGAGCTG